TCTTTTGCGTTTTATATCTGAAGAGGGCTCAATCTTGTAGCCGAAACTTGTTATATTTTTACACATGTTTATACATTTACACATTTATATATGCCGTTCCGTGCGCATGTATCGTCGCATAATAATTTAATTAATTAAATGTTTTGTTTTTCTCTTTGTAATCTACTGACTCTTCTTTCGCCGTGTATTTGTTTGATTATTTACGTATATAACCGCGATTGCGAATGCGAAATTTAAAAGAAACTTGTCGCGTTACTTTGCACGTCGTCTAATCGAAATTGTAACAATACCTACCGCGACGCGAATAGTGCTAAGTGAAATTGTAATAAAATAACTACTGGTGTTAAGTGTAAAAAAAAACTAAATATATTTTTACTAAATAAAAATATAAAAGCTGTTTATTGTCATCTCCCTTTGTGGATTCGCGAACCCCATGCCGTGAAATGCCGGTACAACAATAATATATTACTCATTCTTTTATAAACTAATTTTTCAAAGACTATTATTTACTCAGTCTTGCTTATTATCAATAAATCTTGTACATATGTTATCTATAAAAATCTTAATTTACTAAAATAAAAAAATACATTTGATATTAAATTGTATCACAATAAAATAATTGTAAACTAAAATTATTTTAATAATTAAAATCAAACAAGTGTGTTAATATTATAGAAAAAGATAAGATTTTAAAATTAATAAATTCTAAGCAGAATCGTAAAACTCGTAACATGTTCTCGTAAAACTTGTAAGAACTTATAAGTGCTTATATTTGTATACAATATCTTTACAGACAACTTTTTGCTAGCTATGTATATGCATATGTATCGTAAGAAGATTATTTAATATCTATGATTTACGAGAAAATATTAAATCATCGTCTTACGATACAATTAGATAACGCATAAAATTAGAATACTAATCATTCTTACAAGTTTTACGAAAATAAATTACGAGTCTTGCGATTGTGTTTAGAATTAACCCATAAATATGACAAAAAAAAATTTATTTAGATATGTTTTAAGCTATCACATAGTCGAACATATTTTATTAGCGATAATGAATCAAACTCATTATCAAAACAAAAAAAGGAAACTTAAGCCCGATTGCACCAACGTTTAACTTTAAGTGAAGCTTAAAAATCTTTTTTTTTTTTAGTCAATAGAGAAACAGAAAGGGAAAAAATTTTAAGCCATGAGCCACAATATATACAGTAGTTCAACTCTCCCGATTTTATGTTGGCTAAAATGGAGTGCGCATGCGTGAAATATGTAAGTTGCCCCGTCTCATTTCCTCCTTCTTTATTGCTCTTTTTCTATTTAAATGACTGTTTCAATGTTCCATTTAAAAAGCTGAGAGCAGAAATTTAGAGGGGAATATAACGTACATCGTCCATTTGAGTGTTGTGTGAGAAACCTCAAGAGATCAGTCTCGTGAAAAAGTAAAGTGAAAAAGTGAACGAAAATAACGAAAACCGAGCAAGAAAGTTTTCTTTTTGAGAGAATAATTAACTTATATAATTATATAGGTTAGCTCTTCTCTTGGAAGAGCACTTTGATCTTAACTCTGTTTCAGGTGCTATGACAACTCCAAAAAATTGTGAAAAAAAAAGATCAACATAAAATGATTAATGGAAAAAACGTATGGTGTGCAATACCAGCGTGCACAAAAAAATTTAATTTAGAAGAGCGTTATTTTTTCCGATTTTCAAAGCAACATGAAAGGTACGTTGTTTTTATCACTTTTTATATAAATCAACTTTCAATTCTATGTACATTTTTATTGATAAAATATCTAATTTGTAGATGGTTGCAATGGGTACGAGCATGTGGAAGGCTGGATTTAGAACCAAAAGGTCCAGAATATGCGTACCAGAATTGCCGGTTGTGCCATTTATATTTCGAAGGAAAATGGTACAAAATAAATAAAATGAGAGCACAACACCTTTCTGATCCCACCAAATACAGAACATAACCTTGGTACAATGAATATTTTTCTTTGGCTGTAATGGGCCGGCTTCACCTGACTTCACCCAGGCTTTTTTGCGTTTTGGATTCTCATAATATATCCATTTTTCATCTCCAGTAATTATTCGATGCAAAAAACCTTTTCTTTCTTGTCTTTGAAGCAGCATTTCACAAATGGTTTTTCGACGTTCGATGTCTCTGTCTTTTAATTTATGTGGAACCCAGTTACTAGCTTTTTGAACCATTCCTATTGCTCGCAAACGTTTTGCAACAGTTGATCGATCGACATTTAATGTTGCTGCCAATTCTGATTGTGTTTGACAACAATCTTCGGCCAATGATTCTTCCAATTCAGCGTCTTCAAATTTTTTGGGTGGTTTTCCATGTGTCAGCTGTCAAACACAGTGTGTGACATACGGTTGAAGCGTAAACAACAAGTATTTTTATCGCATTGAGAATGTCGGGTTTTATTCCAAATAAACATCATTTGCGGGAAGTTTTATTGCACTATTTTATTGCAGCGGAAACTTATCATTTGTTTGTGGATATTTATGGTGAGCATGCCTGTCTTCAATGTCAAAATCATCGTTTTTAAATCGTCGAAACCATTCTTTGCAAGTTGTATTTGATGGAGCATGCTCACCATAAATATCCACAAACAAATGATAAGTTTCCGCTGCAATAAAATAGTGCAATAAAACTTCCCGCAAATGATGTTTATTTGGAATAAAACCCGACATTCTCAATGCGATAAAAATACTTGTTGTTTACGCTTCAACCGTATGTCACACACTGTGTTTGACAGCTGACACAAAGTACTATTGAATACAAGTATTGACATTTTAATATACACGCGTAAGCAGTGACACTAGCGAACCTATTGGAAAGGGCGGAGTCATATTCACACACCCGATATTTTTAGCAATATGAAATCTACAGAAACACAACAAAAGCATCTGGAGAAACACATGAAAATCGAAATCGAAGTAGAAACAAATGAGTATGCTACATTGAAATACTTTATATTTAATTTTTTCTATATATATATATTAATATATTGTAGTTTATCTTGTAATGTTAAATCATATATATTTATTGCAGAAACATAGATGGAGAACCTGCGAGTAAAACACAGGAAAAGTACAGTAATAAATAATATTTTTGTATTTTTAATAAGGGATTTAGTGTGTAACCAACTTTCAGCTATATGAAATCTGCAGAAACACTATCAATTATCTAGAGACACTGATAGTGTCTCGGCGCTAAGCTATGTGCAGTGACACTGCCGCTGCTATATTACGCGAACTGGCGAGTTGCCAGGGATCGAGATTATTAGATCTCAATAAGGACGGAATTGATCAGGTTCTAAGTGTGTCAAACGATTGCATCCGGTCTAAATATTGGGTGGATCCATATATTCGTTCGCTTTTTGAAGGCTAAAATGAAACAAGTTTTTTTCATACAAAGGATGAATTTTAATCAATAATATATTCTCCGTTTTTGTTGATGACCTCTTGCCATCTTTCCAACAATTTCATTATTCCGCTCTCATAGAAGGTCTG